TGAACATAATAACATGTAACTATTTGAGTAATATTTTCAAAGAACGAACAATTTAAGCAACCGTAATGGAAGCGAGATTGTTCAACCACTAATAAACATTCTTCTATATATATGGTATAAGGGCCGTGTTTAGCTCGTGGCTGGTACTGCTACAGAAAATCGTTGGTATCTATATAGATTTTAGTATAATGAGTGTAGTAAAATTTAAAATAGTAAACATTTAAAATGTGGACTCAAACTTCACGAAAACCGTTATGAAAGAAAAATATCACGCTGACGAGTTCTTGACTTTGAACGATGTTTTGGCATATCAGCAATTTTGTTCATTATATAATAATATATTATAGCGGAAGTGCGTGAACATGTTTTTTCAGTGGAATTTCGATACCGAGTCGATTCTCGTTGAATTCAGATACGATCGGGTTTCAGGACGTGCCAAACTTAACTCTCTAGGTGTAATAAAAAAAATAACAAAATTTTTAAAAAATAACGACACGCCCTAATAACCGGACGACGAGCGGCGGTGCCGTTCATCTCGCAGAGCGGAACTCGAAAACGGCCGCCATATATTGATTCGCCATAACATAATATATTGTTATGATATTCTGTCGGCCGGTAATAAAACGATGGCACCAGCCCCCTTTGCGGCGTCATTACGCGTCGACGAGTTTATCGCCATCATCCCCGGATCTCATTTTTTTTACGACGATTTAAAGCTTTTAAGAATAACAACGCGTACGCACATATATACATCGTTTTAGCCGGTTCGCGTATTATCTGCATTGTAAGTTTACGGCGTACCTAAACGCGGATATTTTATTAGACGGACGCTCATAGTATATAGGTATACATAGCAGTTTATACTCACAAATGAAATAGTAGTCTTGTCCCGGCTGAAATTCGAGTCCGCCGGGCTGAGGCGTGAACGACCGGAACGTTATGGTGACGTACATAAGTTTGTACGGCTTGTCGCAGTACGCTATGATCCTCGGATTGGGATTAGTGATTCGGCACATATCGTATTCCTCCTTGGACACCTGGAAACGAAAAAAAAAGGGAACCGTTGTAGAATTAGGTACAGCAGCATAGTATATGTGTACGGTGAGTTTTGAGAGATTGATATGGCAACACATTTGACGATATATATTATATAAATAGGCGAGCAGAGGGTTTTCTTGTTTTTTGAACGGTTTTCTTTCTTTTTTTTTTCTTTTTTTGGCAAACGAGTTCAAATCTCATTTACCGACTACGATTTCTGGTTTTGAAACGAATTTCGTCGTGGCGCTTCCGCCATTGTGCTCCCGTGTTTTGTTGGACGATGCAGCTTTTTCGAGTGTACCGAATAATATTATATTATATAGGGGTAGCGTGTATATTGCAATGGCGTTTTCGATAGAGAAAGAGGAACGGAGAGAGAGAGAGAGACTACAGCTCATCAGTGCTGAAATTCTCCGCCGACGCTGGCAAACAAAAACTTGTAAATCGGCCGTGGTATATAGCGGCAGCATTGTGCTACAACAATAAAGTCGGTGGCCGCCGTCAATTAGTCGGGAGTTTGAAAAGGCCGAAAAGTTATATGCGTCTCGGCGGCGACGAGCGCGCCGCTGCTATTAATGCCAAATTTACCACTCGGCTGACGCGCCAGCAGCGTGCAGCGCCTCACTGTCCTAGCTATCTCTCGACCGCTACCACCTGCAGCACCTCCTGTACCGAATCACGCCGCCTCCACCACCGACCTAAACCTTCCACTACCGTCACACGCCACGTTAATAAGAGTCGTTGAAATCGACCGAGTTAAAGGTCGTCTTGGCGGCCGCAGACAATGGCCCCATTGTCCGCCGCTGCAGTGGAAATAAATAAATAATAATAGAGTATAATATAATATTGGTAGGTAGGTAATATCGCACATTATATTGTATTATAGGAGTGCTATTACCACGACTACAATGTAGTACCATACGAAACGGTGCACATCGGCGGTACGAACCGGGGTAAAACTTTCTCGACTCGAGTGCGATGTAGATAATAATAATACGACGTATAATTCCGGTGTATTGCGTACGTAGAAATGTGAAAAATCTCCTCCCCTCCGAGTTTTCGCGAGTGCATATTACTACACACACGCACACGTGTTATTATATATTACGTGTTTAAATCTGACCAGCGGACGGAAAGCCATTGTTTCTGTGATTGCGAAACCCTATATACACGGGGGATGTACTGCAGCAAAGTCCTCGAGGTATGTTAAACCGCTTCCGCGGTGACGACGGAATAGGCAGGCCTAGAGATCATTTTAGATATGATGCACCTATCGGACTCATTGGTAGAACGATGTTTGTAAAATCTATTGTCCAGGAAGAGGCTTGTATGGAGGTTTAAGCTGTATACTCACGTTGTAGATGATGTACTTTTCGGCGTCCGACTCGTGCGTGCCAGGCGCGTACACGGGACACACGATGTTCACTTGGTCGTATTCGAAAGGCTGGTTTCCTTTGTTCACGTCGATTATGTGGTCCGTGTTGTCTATCCGGAATCTGAAACAATATATAGTTTACGCGGTTAGTTACGAGTTTAATTATTCTCTGAGATAGTTCGAGCATAGTATTATACTGTTTTGCATTGAAGGTTCAATGTTTCAACAGCGCAGTATAAACACTCACTGTAATGATATACGTAATATATCATCTTAAAAAGTAAATATTTTTTAGAAATATTTTTTTTACACAGTTTAAACTTGCATTATTCATTTAAAAAGTCAATTTTTTCCAAATTTAAACTACTGCGTATATAGTATGGTCAACGCGCTATATACTATTACAGCATGCACCCATAATTATTTAAGTTTAGATGAGCATCGTTGTGGGATATCTCGCAAAATATTCAGCTCGTATATCGTGTACCTGACACTATTATATGCATGATATTATATTGTACTGAAATATGCACAATACCTACGATCATATACGCTCCGAGACAAAATAGTGTGCATCGGGTTAGAAAGCGGATCTACATGTAGAGAGCTCGCACCACCATTGTTGTTATATGCACAATATTATAATATATATATATATTATATACTGCAGTGCCCGTTATATTATTTAAGCGGAACGTCGATATACGGCGGCGGATTATACTGCATATAGGTGTATACAACGATAAAATACTCTGTGCAAGGATTGTAAATCCTGCAGTAAATACCCAGCACTCGTAATTGTTAATTAATAATATTACACTATGTGCAATGTGTACAGTTTATTATTATAATACTAATAACGTATGTCTGCCGACGACTGAAAACGCACAGAACAGGACTCGAGTCCTGGATATAATATTGCGACGTCCTATCCTGTCTCCACCGGTGTCGCCGCTTGTGACGTGTGCCATATTATATGACTATATCATACTGTAAGGCGAGTTTTCACATTCTATCATTATTATTGTTATTATTATTAGTGATAGTATCATTATTTTCGGTAGAGATTTCTATAATCATACAATATCGTAGGTATAATATCGCGGACGAATAGCGCAACGGCCCCCGCCGAGCTTTTGACTTCCCGTCACATCCGGCGGCGCTGACATCGCACGCACACCGTACTCATCCGGTTCGGGTGCGATGCATACAATTATATTATATTAATATTATTGTTCTATAATACTATACTTTTACAGTTTCCGTTGTGTGGCCCGCGCCAACAGCAGCATTATTAATTTGTTTTGATTTTCCTGTACAGATTAATATGTTCTATATGTCTGCAGCAGACGATACCACAACGGTTGGTATAATATATTATTTCTGTGAAGATATTTTCTATACATTCCTCACGACGATTATTGTTTGTCTGTATAGCCCCGCGGACGATACCATAAACTTTCTTGCCGGTCCTTAACTTTATAACATAACGACTACGGCTCGGTCGTCCGCGCTGCAGTCCGCGTGCATTTATACACGGGAGGACGTAAAAAAGACATAAATGTTTATTGCTGTTATTATTATTATTATTATTATTATTATTGAACGACCGTTTGCCGACCCCCGTTTTCGTCGATAAATGCAGCACAGCCTACCGCATATTTATTACACTCGTATAATATAATATATACCTACACAATATGTGTATCGTATACCTACCTAACTCGACCACCGACCGAATACATGTATAGTTATGTCATGATGGGTGCCCGCCTGTGTATGGTGAGCGCGATCGAAGAATGTGTCTGGTCATCGTCAATGCCAGCTGGGCAAGCCGGACGTGTATATAATATAAGAAAATATTACGCTCTCGAGAGACCCGTTCGGACGGCTCGGACAACGGCGGCGGCGGTCATAACGAATCGATTTGCCGGCGCGGAATACCTTTTTTTCTTCTTCTGATTTTTGATTTTGTTTTCGTATAATATACCTACCTATACGCAACTACGTAGACGGAGTACATTGTTTGGCGTGTGTGTGCGAGTGCGTTACGGGCGACGTATGATGATAATGACGAGCGAACAGTTATGATGCGGTGCGCAGTTGTGTTTGACATGGGGGGGTGAAAGAAAATGTAATGATCACGACGACGCATATATATTACTATAGCATCGACGGGAAAAGTGATGAACGGAGGCAATTACGACGATTTTCGTCGAACTCACGTTTTCTATATAGGTACAGATAGATAGTGTTACAGCGACACGGACGGACGTCTGGTGGCTTTTCAGTTAGGTTATACAAGGCGTATACGACTGTGTAGAAAACACGTGCTCATTAACGAATAATTATATAATAGCTATTCGATAATGCGATGTTATATGAAATCATTTATAAGATCGTATGGATGAATAGTTGTAGGTACCTACATATGTATATAAACGATGACGTGACGTGTCGATATCGTTTTTCCCCACGCCGTGCGCCTTTACCACGGTGCGATTATTGGTCGGAAAATATCATATTATAAAAGTTTGTAGTAGACATCTGCAGTTTACGTTGTACATTATTGCCGATCAAATGATGATGAAGCAGCGAAGTCAATCAAACATCGTTTTAATAATGACCGACACAAAATAATAAATCGTCCCGAGAAACAATCCCGCTGTCGTTATATACGCACAAGATTGTTATATTATTATTATTAACCTAGGTAGGTATGTATGTTAAACGCGTATTATTTCGGCTTTTAAGTACGCGTTCGAATCACGTTTGGAAATTATTTTTTTTCGAACGAATTATTACATTGTCGTCGTTTCGGTCAACGCATTTCACTTGTCATCGTTTTCAACTTCGTCGTACGTTATAGCCATTCTTAAACCCCGATGCTGCCTATATACGTATAATTTTATAATATGCTACTGGAAAATTGTAATCGCTTTCTTTCGGGTTGCGATCAATAATACATCACAGCCGTCATGATACTTAAATAAATATACGAATAAATACCTGCGCAGTCATCGCGCGATTTAACGTTCGAGTTTAGTCAAAACCGATGATCGCGACTAAAGGGAAGGAGTTTGTACTTTAAGCGAACGCTTTCGCATGCGTATGCAAATATAGAGCTTTCGCCTTTCAGAGAAACAAGCGGAACGTGTATAATGTATTATGTATATATATATATATATATATATATTATATGTTTTTGAGGCAGTTTTTTGTCTGAAAAGCGAATGAAATAATAAAATAACGCCCTAGAAGTACTACTACGTATATATAACTGCAGCCCTGCTTGTACACGAATCCTGCATCACGCACGGTTCTTTTCGATAAATTGCTCGTTTCTCTTCACCCGGAACTATAAATATATTATTTTTCGCGAAACGACAAAACCCTAAAAGAGTGTATCCTAATTTTTAAACGCACCTCGCTGTTAAAAAACACAATGTCGTCTTCGCGGAATACATTATAATAATGATAAATAATACACAATAATACAATATGCGTATGTATTAGGGCGATAATCGGGGCGGTACCTGCACCCGTCGAGGGGATAACAGAACCATACAAGGTTCATGGACACGCTGCGTACGAAGGTGGTATAAAAAACGATATTATTATTATCTATTATACACATGTATATCCTTAGTCGTCTGTATATTGCTGTGTGAACGAACACATGTATATACATATATATATATACAAGCGATAATATATTATCGTGGATGTGGTCAACAGCGGTGGAGGACACGTTGGGGGAAACCTGTGAAACTCGCCGTGCGTATCGAATGTCTCCCTCGTGGTCAAGGGTGTATAAAAAACAAAAACCCGAGGCGGTTGTTTTTCCGCTATATGTTTACAGGAGCAAGCGTAGGTGGGGTGCGGAAAGGTGCTCCCCTGACCGCGGTCCGCCGTTATGATTATGGCGGCTTCGGTTGTCGAGATATGGGCGGTCGCGTCCGGTTACCGCCCTCCGCGAGCCTCGGCGATCGTATTCTGAGATTTAGTTTATTAAAAGTATTCACCACGTCGTATTGTATCCGTAAACATAACATGATGGGACGTATTATGACGTGCAGGAGGAACGCTGCACTTGAAATGTTACGTCGACACAGGCTGACGATATACAGCGGGTCGTATAGGCTTGCGGGGGCGCTTGCAGTGGTATAGTCGCTTCGCGTTATATAATACATTATTACGCACTCGACGGTGCAGGCGGGGTGTACGTATCATGTGATGTGGACGCGAGGTCCGCGGGGACGGAATGGCGGCCATTATTTAGTGTGCGAGTGGCGGAAGAGGTGTTGGGGGGGGTCCGATGAAGGGGGATGGTTAGGACTGGGGAGACGGGACGAACAAAAAACCCCTAGGAAAAACTGGTGTTGATTAAGTGTGAAAACGAAGGGTTGCCGGGCGATCTCTGCAGTGCCATGGCCCTACTCCAGTGCATGTGCGTACATTATACGCACAACATAGTCATCGCCTTGGGCTTTGGCACCACACACACGCACACACGCACACACACACACACACACACACACACATTATAAGTTTGTAGAGGCACCTATAATGCACAGTTGTATGTCATGCTATGCATAGGTACAGTATATACATATATTATAGTAGCCATGCACGGACGTATAGGCGGGTTGCCGGGACAGTGGTGAAAGCGAGGGTCGTCGGACTTTTGTTTTCGTTTTCGCGTAGAAACAATTAGAGATGAGAGCTTTCAATCGTTGGCGGCTATATATATATATATATATATATAGTGACCCCGCGCATGTGCACTATGCACACACATGATGCACTTGCAGGGGGATGCGTTGTACACACAGCTGTACGGCGACGTAGGGGTTGCATGGAGCGGTGTATATAGGTGTACCTCATCCATCCTACGTACGCTGCTGATACGTAGGTACATCGCATAAAATAATAATGTGTCCTACGACTCGTGTGCAACGATCGAGAAATTTTTCCCCGGTTCGAAAAAAATAAATAAATAAACGCACCCATTATATTACCATTATTATTATTATTAATATTGAAATGGAGAAAGTCGACGGCGGCGGAGTGCGTGCGTGCATGTGTGTGCGAAAAGAGAGCGAGGAAAATTACTATATT